CGATTTCTTGTAGTGACACCACTATGAATTAATTCGAGGGGTTCAGAGTTTCTAGTTATAGACTTGAAGCGTTTTTTAGTGTGTTTCTCTTGCACACAAATCTCATACTTAGATGAGGGATCATGAGATGATTTAGGAATAAGGTTCAATTTAGTCATTCTCTGCAAGGTTTGAAAATTAACATGTCCAAGTCGTCCATGCCAAACATCACAAGACTCAACAATTTGAGCAACAGAAGACTCAGGAGTTTCATTAGAACCGGAATTGATTACATTGATTTTGAAAAGACCATTACAGATAAAACCTTTTCCTATGAATACATTATTCTTAGTAATCACAAATTTATTTGATTCCTTTACAATCCTAAAGCTATCTCTAAGAAGAAGAGATTCACTGATTAAGTTGCGGCGAAGAGAAGGAACATGATGAACGCCTTGCAGATTCAGAGCTTTCTCAGAGGTTATGGTGAGCTCTATATATCCACTTCCAATTATTTGTTTGGTGGAGTCATCTGCTAAGCTTATGCTTCCTCCACATGATTCCCGATAAGTTAAAAATCAAGAGCGATCATTGCAAACATGAATATTAGCTCTAGAATCTAAGTACCAGTCAGTGGAAGAAGTAAGAGAATTTACAAGATAGGATGAAGAGGCAAACCTCAAAGAATTTGGATTCTCTTCAATCATGTTAACTTTGTTAGATCCATTTCCTTTAGGAGCAAGTTTGGTTGGTTCCTTCTTTCGATAGAAACAGTTGGCACGCCAAGTGGTTGGTTCTACCACAGACATAGCAGAACTTTTCATTAGACGTATGCCTGGAAGGATTGTCATTGGATTTGGATGATGATTTGTTGAAGGATTGCTGATTTTTTTTTGAATTTCTTCCCTTTGGGTTTGAAATCCTTAGATTTAGACTTATCCTCTACCAAGTTTACTTTAGCTTTCATTCGGTCTTGGTTTTGGAATTTTGCCTATGCTGGTCTTTAATACGAATAGCTTTGAGGGTTTCAGTTAAGGTTAGATCTTCTTGCTTGTGTCGGAGATCTCAAGCAAATCTAGACCAGGAGTGAGAGAGTTTATCAATCAAACAGGAAATTTTAAAGTCATTAGTAAATTTGTTTCCTTTTGATTGAAGATGACGAAGGAAATCTTGGAATTCATGAATTTGTTCATTAATGGGTTTGTCATCAACCATCATGAACTTATTGAAGGAAGAGGAGGTGAAGCGCAGAATTCCGACATCATCATAGCCATATTCTGCTTCAAGAGCATTCCATAGGTCTTTAGTACTTTTAAACTCATAATATATACCATAAAGGTTGTCCGCGAGTGCACTAAGAATCCTATGGCAACAATGTTAGTTGATTTCTTCTGGTTTCATAGAGTTAAAAAAGGAGCTAGCATCAGAACTAGAAATGGAAGGAGCAGGTTGTCCAGGATCGAGAGTCAAGGGTTGAGAACCACTAGTAGAAGATTCGGGAGTGTCTATGGCAGATAGGAGACCTAAGGTGGTGAGCCAGTATCTCATCTGATTAGCCCATCGTTTATAGTTAACACCGTTGAACTTCTCAGGTTTGATACTCTTGGAATGATCAGGATTAGCCATAAGTCCGATTAAACTTTACTAGTCTAGGTATATGAAATCTGAAGGGAATAAATGTTTTGTCAATACCACTAGACTAGTTACTTAGGAGATTATGACTTTAAAGGGTGAGTTTGATGCAAAATGAACAGAACAAAATTAACTAGTAGATATGAACCAGTTTAAGCAATAATTGCAAGAATATATATATATATATATAATTTTTTTTCTTTGAATTAATTTCCTAACAAGAACAGAAAATCAAGTAATTTATTTCAAAAATATTTATGATAAGTTAACAATTAATTACAATTAATAGTAATTATTTAAGCAATAATCAGCAATAATAATTAATTACTGCAATTATAAATTCGGATGAACAGTAACAGAAACTGAATATAATATTTTTAAAATAAATTTCTTGATAAATAGTAATTTTTTTAAACAAACAGTAAAATAGAATTTCGGTTAAACAGTAAAAAATTTTTTCCGAATGAACAGAAATATTTAATAATAATTAAATGCAATAAATTATAGATAAAATTTATTTCGGATTTTGTAAATCAACACTATAAGACCAATCTTCTAAATTGTTGTAAAAAAGAAAATTATTAGCATTAAGAATCCGAAAATAAAGAATCAGAAATTCTGGCTTGATACGGGTAGCAGTCATGCAAGCACTGCCCTAGAAGATTGAGGACTCGCCTATCGCCCTGGCGTAGTCGGTCCCTTTCCCCTAGCGATAAAAGCCCCCGGAAACAGCCGGCCTCTGTACTCGGGCGAGAGTGCAGAGCTTCAGCTCAGATGCAGAAGATTGCCCAAAAATAAAGCTTGTACTCGGGCGAGAGTGCAGAGCTTCAGCTCAGATGCAGAAGATTGCCCAAAAATAAAGCTTTAAAAATATAGTTGCACAAATTTCGTAACTAGAGGGAGGAGAGAATGCAGAAGAGAGAATGAATTTTTGTGTTTGTTCTGTGTTTTTCTCAAACTGATCACGCCTCTATTTATAGGGTTTACAAACCCAGAGCCGTTTCTCATGATCCGCGCACGTTACTCATAATCCGCATAACCCCTGCACGATCTCTGCTACCGTTACACACGTTCATTGTTGAGTCAAATAAATGTGTAAAACGTGCAAAAAATAAATGTTTGAGAAACAAAAGAGTGTGCGCGTGCGGTGCATGTTATGCAAATCCCAAACAATACAAAACCCAAAACACTACTCAAAGCCCAACAATAGGTGAAGCAATATAAACCCCTTACTATTCATCTCATTTTCCAATGTGAGACTATTCACAAAGGCAAAATTGCCTTTTCATGAACAAGATAGCCAACATAGCAACATGAACTTAGTGATTATCGTAGAAGACATTTTATAGTTGGTTCTTATACTTTTATTATTGGTTGGGTTTTACAAAACGCTCAAAATAATAATAAATTACTATGTATTTACATTATAATAATGATGTGGGGTCCACTCCTTTATCCAAAGTCAAAACTACTGTTGCATGTGGGCAGTTGGGCTTGGCTTTATTAGGCATCTTTCGGCTGACACAAATATCAAAATAAAATAAATCACTAAGAAATCCAACTCCAACCACAATAAATCAAATTCTAATTTGATCAAAACCTTTTTTTTTTCCTTCTTCTGTTCCATTCCTTTTTTTTCTTTTCTTTTCTTGCCTGATCAATCTTTTCATATTTTGTTACTTCTTTTTCTCTTTTTTTTTTCTTTTTTTTCCCCTTGCTTAGCTAATAGTGGTAAAAGGGAGGTGGGGATAAAGGAAAATTAGGGTGGTGAAGGTGACAGCGAGGGCATATATGCTGAGGACTATTATTGCTATGAATGATAACAGTCTCAATCATCAACAGAGCATTTAAAGTGGGCAAACAAAGGTACACAATATTTTTTTTTTTTTTGGTAACGAGGGAACCCCGGTCAGTGCCTCCACTTGAACTCCCTTTGGAGTCCGTCGTGCCCCGGTTCGAATCCCCCCAGACCCCCACGACTACAAGGAGCTACCTCTACGGTTGCTCGAGGGCTCATCCCCCACACGTGAGGGCAGCGGGCCCCACACGGCGGGGCGTGCAGTGTGTGGTCCGGTTGGATCCGAACCAGGGACGACGGGTCGAGCCGCCACTGACCAGATAAAACCCCGGCCTCCACCCCACCCGAGAGCGTGGACAGCAGGTGAATTACTCGCGGGGATTCGAACACACGGTCATCAGGGAACGAAGTCCTAGGCGGCGAATCCCACCCCATGGTGCTGATGACCGAATGTCCCACCCGTGGGTGGTACGAACCTGATCATTTGTTATGGGGCCGGGTCATAATTTCTAACGAAACGATAGATGTGCCGCTCTTCGTGCTCGGTCCATTTGTCTCTCGACGTGTTCAAACCATGAGTAAAACGTGCGCGATTTAAGGAATCATAGTCAACTACGTAGAGGGATTAAAGAAATATGAATTCATTTATAACTAATTATTACACACTCACACTTATAACAAACTTATGTCTGGGAGCAAAAAAGTTATTCTCGTTACAAGTTTGGTTCCTGGTTTATAACTGTAGTTTCAATGGCAGTATATAGTTGTAACAAGACGAGCAGTCGCATTGGACATTTTCTGTTAACTAAAATTGCAGTTGCAACCCGTCTATATTTGAACAAAATGATCTACTGCTCAATTCTTTATTTTTGATTGGATATACATGTTGTCACAATTGCCGCTGGCATGATGCTTTCTATTTGTGAAATTTTAAATAGAGACAATGTCTTCTATACTGAGCTCGGGTTAGAGTTGGACTCGAGGGGATCCAAGCTGATGTGCACCGAGATTTATTATAAGTGTTTCGGGTTCATTATTTTAGGGTGTGTTTGTTTGGAAAAAAAAGCAAGAAAGAGGTGGAAAGGCATTGTTTGTTGTCAGTATGAAGATTTTGAGGGTATAATTTTTCCTATTGTTGTGTTTGTTTCAAAAAAAAAAGGAAAATGTTTCTTAGAAGTCGAGAAAAGGACGGGTTTTGCGTGGAAATAAAATCTTAGCTGAATGATTGGAAGTGGGAATGAAAGAGGTGGAAGTGGGGGAGATAATACTAAATTATAGATGACGGGATAGCTTAAGCAGGTATTATCTAGTTTCTCACTCGCGCCACCCATCCCTTTCTCTCACTCGTTCTTCATAGGGAAAAAAACCCTAGATTTCTATCATCAACGCTGCTTTCTCCCTCTCTCGTTCTCATCTTTTGTGAGAGAAAAAACTCGTAGATCTCTTCCCCTGTCGCTACATCTTTCCCCCTCTCTCGTTCTCATCGTCGGAATAGGGGGGAGAGACGATCATTAAGAGGGCTAAAGAGACTAAAGATCTCTCTTTTTAGCTTGTCGGTATTCAGATCTTCATAGGGGGGGGGGGAGGAAGAGACGATCATTAAGAGGGCTAAAGAGACTAAAGATCTCTCTTTTTAGCTTGTCGGTATTCAGATCTTCTCATTTTCCGACCGTCGTTATCACGCAGTTACAATTGAAGCAAAAAGTAAGGTAAAAATTGTCTTTTTAATAAAAATTATATTTTTTTTATCAATTAGATTCTTAGTTTGGTACATGATGCGATGATTTTTTAGTTTAATTCATGTAGGCTATTGTTCAATTTTATGCTCAAAATTTAGTCAGATCAAATATTGTTTTTATTCAACTAGGCTATTGTTTAATTTCATGCTCTAATTTGTTTTGCCTTTCAACTAGACTGTTAGTTTGTAATTTTCCTTTCTTTGTGAATGATTGTCATTTGAAGAATTGTTTATATATTTTTATAAAATTTTGGGTGGTCTGACAACCTGATTCAACCTGAATTTGTTCAATTTAATGCTCTTATTTCATGCTCTAATTTGTTTTGCCTATGAATTTTTTTTATATAAACTAGACTGTTAGTTTGCTACAAGTTGTGTTCAATTTCTTGCTCATATTTTTTTCAACTACGCTATTGATCAATTTCATGCTTCTATTTTTTTCAACTAGACTCTTGGTTTGTAATTTTCGCGTATGGTATTGTAGCTGGAAAATATTGAGGAGGAGGAGATGATGAGGATTGTATCTGGGGGTGCTATGACTGTGTTAGTGTTGATGATTACCTTTCTGAAAAGATTACAATCTAGACGAAGGCGTATCACTCATGTACCTAGATTAGAAAAGAAAGAAAATGAAAGGTACCGAGACACATAATTGTCTAGGATATTGAAAGATTATTCTACTAGTTGTAAAGACTATATAAGAATGCGTAAAGTTACGTTTAACAAGCTTGTAAATTTGACGGGGATAGAGAGTCTATTTAAAGACTCTAGGCACATTACGGTTGAAGAACAACTTGTAATATTCTTGAACTTTTGGGTCATAAAACCTAAATAGGGTGTTAAGATCTAACTTCATTAGGCCAGGAGAAATAATTAGTAGATACTTCAATAAGGCTTTTTGTATGCCATTTGTCAATTGCGTGACCGTTACATTCGGCAAGTACTAAATCAAGTGCCACCAGAGATTGCCAGCAACCCTCGATATTTTCCTTACTTAAAGGTAATTTTGAACAAAACTCATTAAAGACTACAAATAAAATTAAAGTTAACAGATCTAAATACATACTTGTGTACATTTATAGGACTTTATTAGAATGATAGATGGAACACACATTAACGCCATGCTACCTAGCAATCTTGTAGCAAGTTTTAAAAGTCGTAAAGGGGTGACACATAATGTTCAAGCAGCTTGCACCCCAAACAAAGTATTCACGTACATGCTACTAGGATGCGAGGGCTAAACTAACGATTATAGGGTCCTTCATGATGCACTTTTAAGACCATAACCTCATGGATTGAGAGTCTATGATGGTAATAAAATTAATTTTTTAACAAAATTGCTATATGTTTTTAAAATTGAGACAATTATTAACTTTCTTATGATGTAATATGTAGGAAAAAATTACCTTTGTGATGTGGGGTACACTACTATGTCTGGTTTCATCTCTCCCTATCATGTTGTGCGTTATCATTTAAAAGAGTATGCCAAAAAAACACCTAGAAATAGAAGAGAGTTGTTTAATTTACGACACTCGTCTCTTAGGTCTAAAATTGAATGTGCATTTGGAATACTCAAGAATCGATTCAAGATTCTTTCTGCAAAGCCTCATTACCCTTTTCGCACACAAGTCCATATTGCTCTCGCTTGTATAGTACTTCATGATTATATTGCAATAGAAGATCCCAAGGATGACTTCCTTAATGAGACTATGGATGATGAAGATGATGATGGTGAATTAGCAAAAGAGGATGGAGAAAATGTAGTAGACTTTACTCAAACACAGACTCAAAGAGAGCAAACAAATTCAAGAAATGAATGGAAAGCTCATAGGGATCAAATTGCTTGGGAAATATGGGTAGATTATTGTGGTCGGCATCATGTGGGTGACACAACTAAAACTGGAATAGACTAATTTCATGTGTGCAATGTGCTTAAAATCCTTTAGAGTCAAACTCTGTTTTAATTTGTCTAAGTAGACTTGTACTAAATTTGTTACTCTTCGCATTTGTGTTGTATAATTATGTGTGCAATGTCCTTTTTGTATTTGTGTTTTATGAATATGACAGTTGGTTTAAATTTTCCCTTTATATATGATTGGTTTTAATGCATTTCATATTATGTGTACAATGTAACTATGTGTTGTATAATTATTGTGATAATATGATTTACTTTTTCCCTTCATATATGATTGGTTTAAATGCATTTCATAGGTATGGTTGATGGTGCACAAAAATTTGATGCCAACAAATCTATGACTCCTTCACCATTTAGTGAAAGACTGTCCATTGTGTATAATATGGGGTTTATGTCTTTTCCAAACTCAGCCGCACACTACTCAGGTTTTACATGTTATGAAGGGAATTATTTTCTTATTGCATAGTCACAAATGAGATATATGAACATGCTCAATAGCCCTAGCATTTACGTCTAGCCTGGTCATAGTTCACAAGGTAGTGGTGGGGTTCTACCACCATCATTTGATAGAGGGTATGTTCTTGATCTTATAGGAACAAAGAGGACTTTCATAGAGGAAGTGGAAGAAATTCTCCCACTAAAAAAAGGGTTAGTAAGAAAAGAAGAACATCAAGCAATGATACATCTGATATGGGTCCAAAGGGCTCGGGTCATAAGAAATGAGAATCTCCTCATGATGATGTGCTCATTCCCTATCTTGTAAAGTTGGTCATAGATGGGTTCAAACCCGATAAATTTTTTAAACAAACTACTATCAGCATAGCTGCTGCTCATATTAATAACAAATGCAAGTCTGACTTCAGTAAAGAAAAGGTTATTAATCGCATGAAGAGCTTGAAGAAACAATTTTATGCGATGCATGCTTGTGCTAATATGAGTGGTGTTGGATGGGACAATGAGACCAAATCTATTATATTGGATGAAGTTTCATATGATAGGTGGTCTGAGGTATTATTTGTCTCATATTTTTTGCAATTTAATTTTTTCCAAACTTCATCTGTATCTAATTCTAGACATATACTATGCTTTCTTATGTACATCATAACAAAGCTTCCCTATTTCATGCTAGCAATACTGATGATAAAGAAAAGGGGACTTAACTTCAGATATTTTTTTCTAGTTTTGGGTCTAGTAAATCCATCCCTATTTTAGACGAAGAGGATGAATTTCCTACACGTAGTTCAGGGAAACATGCTAGCAATACTGATGATGAGCAAGTTGAAAATATCACTTACATTCACACACAACCTACTAACTTCAAGTCAACAAGTGGTGCTAACACTAGCATTAAACCAAAGGGCAAGAAGAAGGTTGCTAAATCAAATGAAGATATTGACATCATTAGTAAGTTCTTAGAGAAAGTGGTTTCTGTGTCCTACTCAATTCAAAATGTCCATATGATTCACTGGACCTAGAAGCTATCTCAGGTTATACAATCACATAAAGGTGAATACAGTGAATTGGTTCTTGACAAGTTATATGATAAACTTTTAGAGATGAGAATGAGGCAAGGTACTTTATAGCTAAATCTATGGAGAGTCAGTCTAGGTATCTTGCCATGTTTGTGAAGGATATTGGTTTGGATGTTGAAGGCATCCGATCCACATAGAACTGTTTTTTTTTTTTTGATGATACTTTTTTTTTATTTGGGTGCTTTACATGTCTAACCATTATATGTCTATATTTGCATAGATGCTAACTTCTGTGATTACTTTTGTGACACTTTAATATACCTCAGGACAAATATAAATGAGGCACTGTTATTGTTAATGATGGTTTGTAATACAACTATTAAAAATGGCTACTGCTCTGTATGTAGCATAGTTTATGCTACTACTCATATTTGTTGAACTCATTTTTCGTGTTAATTATGTTGAACTATATCTAAGTTTGGTCCTGCACTCAATAGTATTTACACAGTTGTGTTCAATTTCATGCAGGATTGTGACTTTTTGCAATCAATATATGATGCGAGCAAGGGCTCCTACAAGAGACAAATTTATTATGCTCATTCAAGGTTAGTGAGGGCTATGATAATAATATTCTTTTAAGAAAGTTATCTTAGATATGCAATCAAAGTATCTACTTGCACATGTTTAGGCGAGACAAGAAATTGCAGCCTACATTACTAGTAGATATTCTTTAGTATGGCATACGTTAATGAAATAAAAATATCTGAGTCCCTATTTGTTGATTTCTCACAATTTCATTCTCAAAATTTACTTCAGCTTTGTGTATTCTTTAATATATGACTTCTTTGATGGTTTTTTGTTGCATTTTTTCCCATGCAATTTCTAAAATGCTGCTAAATATACTCTCTTTTTTCCTGATTTTTCTTAAAATGTGGAAGGTTTCAGCTTAGCTAACTCATATGTTGGTTTCTATGTTCCTTTCTGAATTGATGGTTTTTTGTTGCATTTTTTCTCATGAATTTTCTGAATTGTTGTTATATATAATCTTATTTTTCATGACTTCTTTGATAGTGGAATGCTTCAGCTCAGCTAACTCATATGTTGGTTTCCATGTTCTTTTCTCATATTCCATATTCCATGTTCCCTTCAATTTCATTCCATGTTATTCATTTTATTAACAAAGTGCAAGCTACAAGTGTTGCTACATACATGACCATGAAAAAAGAGAGAGTCAAAATTAGAGCAAGCTTTAGTGTTGCTACATACATGACCATGAAAAAAGAGAGAGAGAGTCAAAATTAGAGCAGGCTTTAATGTTGCTATTTGCTGACGTGCAAGTCTCAGTTCTTTCTTCAATTGCTTTGCTTTGACTAACTAATTTTTATTGGCAACTTCATCACCAGTCTTTAATACTGATTTAGCAATCTGTCCAACTTGAGCCCAATGAAAAAATTTGCATTTTCTGTTTGGGTATGTTGCACAACCCCAAAAATATTTCTCCCTATTCTTTCCATTCTTGCGGAGCTTCAGTAGTGTGCACTATAATAGAAAAGCTAATCCACGAGGAACAAGTTTGTCGTTGAAAGTTAAGATTTCCTCACCGTAGTGTGTTGGCGAGGAAAAAACTTTGGTCACCATTTCCTCACGGTAGGATGATCAAGAAAAGTTTCTGCGAGGAATATTATAATTTCTTGCGAAATCCTTTTTGCGATGAATATATTCTTTTCTCATTGTTACTCTTTAGCCTCGATATTTTTCCTCACCTAATCTCATACATTTTTCATTGCTAAACTATAGTTTTCTCACCAATGATACGTGAATAATATTTAATTTATATAATAAAAGTTCTAAAAAAAACTATTTTCATTGTTGTAAGTATCTTTCAGCGAGGAAACTGTTCCTCACCAAAGATAAATCTTTAACGAGGAAATTAATTTTCTTCATTATATGTATCTTTTTTTCATGGAAACAATTCCTCAGTAAAGGGACTCAAAGATGAGGAAATTTAAATTTGTCGTTGTAGGTTGTACCCCATATTCCTCGCCAAAGAAATTCAATTACGAGGAAATTTAATTTGTCGTTGTAGGTTGTACCCCATATTCCTCGCCAAAGAAATTCAATTACGAGGAAATTTACATTTGTCGATATAGGTTATATCCTCGCCAAAGAAATTCAATTACGAGGAAATTTACATTTGTCGATATAGGTTATATGGTCTATAACAATAATGCTACAATAGTTTTATTTACAAAATCTACGTTGCACACTATATAATATTGCATGTACACAATATTGCACAACACCAAATCATATTCATATACAACACAATCTAATTATATTTCAATATTAAATATAATTATATTCAAATAATACATTCACCAAAATACTAAAGAGATATATAAATTGTTTACATAGATAATAAAATATACAATTGTTTACATAACTTGATGAACTTTTCATAATTTACATAATCCAATTACATTTACTCCTCCAAGTTGTTGAAGCATCATTAAGTCGAATGCTACCTGTGCATGGAAAATCCTTCCATAAATACTTTTCTTTTGATAAAAATATATGATAAATACTGATTCATCTACATTCAGTAAGAAATAGCATTAGAAAGGTTTCCTACAATAACTGAATGGATGTATCCGCTCTGGAATTGGTCTTGAACTTTAGCCTTGGGAAATAAAAATAAGTTGGGAGGGAAATTTGAGGATTTTGCGCTGGTAGTACCTCTGATATCAGAACCCAAGGAATAGGTCCCATTCCTATTGAGTGAAATCTTAAGTAAATCTATATCAAGAAGCAGCATAACAGAACTCATCAGGAATTTTAGAAAACCAAGCATTGAAGTAAGAGATCAAGAATTAAGATCAACATTCTAGTCTAGTTTAAAACATGATCACAAATGGCTTATCTTAGTTAATATCAAAGTAGAAATTCCAAGTACCAAAAGTAAATGCATAATGGTTCAATTCAGTGAATTCCTATAGCAAAAATAAAATCAAACTTGCACCCAAAAAGCTTGGACAATACAGTGAAAATATAAGAGTTCATTAATGTTTGAAATATGCCAGAAGAAGAACTTTTGATATTTAGAAGATACAGGTGAAATAAACCTGAGATTAATTCAGTATGACTTATAGTTACAGGATATGAGTCCATATTCAAGCTTGATCTGTTAATATCGAGCAAAATTTTTGGCAAACTCCATCTATAGATACTTACATACCTATTTAGTAGACACCTGTTATTTATTCTTTGCTATTAAATCTGTCACTTATAATTACTGGTGGATGGGAGGAAACATATAAATGTCAGCTTAAATACTTTACGGATGATATAATACATAAAGTACTGCAGAAAAATTGATCTAGGTTACTAAGTAGAAACACTTTCAAGTTCAACCTATGAACCTATTTGAATGAATATATGCTTATTTGCTTTGAGTTAAAAAAATCTTATTCTAAGATCTCAAATTATTCATGATACCGGTCCTGTTTTACAAATTCAAGTTGACTTGTATTACTAGTTCATAAGACTCGTGTCAGTTCGTTCACTTTGATGTTCGACTGAGCGTACGTTTCTCATAATTACATTATACATATGAGAACCACTATTTATACTAGGAAACTATTAGTAAAAGCTGATAGAGGAAATGAAGCCATAACGCAAAATGCAAAAAGAAGACGAAAGGAATCTGTAAGTTTATGTCAAGTATGTATGAGTCCAGCAGTTATCTTTTTCAACTACACAATAAATTACAGTCCAAGTAATTTGAATAATACTTAAACCACCAATTAAGAAAATAGAAATTACACCCTCTATTCATAGCAAGTCTAGAAGTTTCTAATTATTTTGTGCGAGACATTATGAAACTCACTTGACGAAGGTCTGGGCAAGTTGCTGGATTGATTTTGATTTGTGCTTGTACAGAGCATTCATGGACTTCCCAATTTTTGTAGCCTAAGGTTCAAAGGTAATAATCTAATAAGAAATCGATAATGGCACAAGTCGAGAAGTACAAGACTTTAAAAGTTAATAAGGAAAAAAAATGGAATCATACACTGAGGGTTTCTATTGAGAGCTCCATCAATTGCAACCTCCTTAATGATTCGGATAGAACGTTTTCAAACTGCAAAGAAAACAAAATTTGCCAGAGAAAACTCTTATTCTCTACTGTAATGAACTATGCAATTCAAAAAACTCTAATACCAACTTCAAGCCCTTAACTTCCAATTGAAGAAAAGCAAATCATCTGTTCACAACCATATTGTACCAATACCAATAATGTCTAGTATGAAGAAGGAAAAAAATAACCAAAAGCAACCCATAGTTATGTTATTTCCAGTCGCAATAAATTTTCAAGCAGTCGAATTAGCATGGAAAATCACCAAATAGAAAAATGATACCATGTAACAACATTCATGTGGTTACTTTGTGATTCATATTTAAATAATCCAAAACAGAAGAATAATTCAACTAGAACAATCAAATATTTTGATAGAAGAACTACAAAGATTCCCGGATTAATATTCTGAGATCGAATCTATCCAAAGGAGTTGTAGAAAATAGAATGATTAGGATAAGCCCATGGTGATTAACTTTCAAGCCCCCTTGTGCCTTTACTCACTCAAGGTTGATAGCTAGTACTTTGTTCTCTTTCATAACCTTTTCCTAGAAGCTTGCAAGCATTCCTCCGAATCCATTTCAAATACTTCATATTTAGAATCATGTCAGTTATCGGTTGTTCAACAAGCACAACATCATGTCAACGATGTCTTCATAATGAATATTAAATATATACTAAATAAGTTTAAAATTGATTATCAGTAGTTCCCAGCATTTCCCAGCATTTGATGTTACATTTAAGCTCGAAAACATTATGATAGTTTCAGACAATAAGCAAAGATTTCAAAACTATCCGCCACACATCGGATAGAAAACAAAACCAACCACTAAGAGCAAAGAACACAATAAAATGAGCAAAATTAACAACAAAAGTAGAATACCTTTGTTCCAATTACCAAATTGCTCCAATTTCCCCTCACACAAGCTCAATCTCTCTTACGATTTAAACTCATATGCTTAATTATCAATCTCTTAGTAGAAAACGACTAAACCCACAAAAATATTAGACGATAAAATGGAGATAAATTCTTACAATCTCAGTCTTGATAGGATGATCATCTGGTCGAATTCCACTGCTCCTCAATCTCACTACTCAAAGGAAAAAAGAAAAAAAAAGAATTTTTTTTGAAAACAAAAGAATCAATGAGCTAGGGTTAGGGTTTTATACATGCCAACAGAGAGGAAGCGGACTGGGCGAGCACGAGGAAAGCACGTGCCGCTGGAGTGGCGGCAGCTCGTCGAGGACTCCGGGCTCTGCCGCCGAGAGCACGAGGAAAGCACGTGCCGCTGGAGTGGCGGCAGCTCGTCGAGGACTCCGGGCTCTGCCGCCGACAAAAAGTTGAGGAGATTCGTTTGGAGATCGCCGACGCAATCTATGGTTTCTTTGATTTAATCCACTACTGATTCTGGCACCGCCATTCCGTTCGAGGCGAAGCGTGAGATTTGAAATCGAGCTGCGAGTAATCAATTTTGGGGTTTTTTTGTATAACTGGTGGTTCTGTTAGGGTTTTGCTCGAAAAGGTAAGGTTGGAGGGGGCGAGGGAGGAGAAGGTGGTGGATTCGAGGGGGAGAGGGAGGCGAAGAATGAGGGCGTTTGGTAGGACCAGTAGCGAAGGAGGGAGGCCGAGGGGGACAATGGGCTCGGGCGGCGGCTAGGCTTGGTCACGAAGAAGGAGGTGAGAGGGGAGGAGCGTGAGTTTGAACGGAGGAGGATGAGGATTGTGATCTGAATACTTTTTAGGTTTTTAAAGAGCGGTGAAATGAAAATTTAGGGGGAAACTGTGGCGCTCGGTCTCAAAACTAAAATATCGGACCCATTCCCTCCAGGTTGCCAATCTAGACGGAAAATTCCCGTTTGGTTTGTTCTGTCTAGTATATTTGATTTTCTACTAGTGCTAAGAAAAGAAAATACATTGAAACATAGAAAAAAAAAACTGAATCACAACATCATCCCTTACACTGTCCATAATTATCTTTTGTTGTTAACTATGGTAACAATTGATCATGTGCGCTGCTAAAAAAGGTGGATCTTAACTCAAACTATACTTAATAATGGTCATTTCAAAATACAACATACTATTTGAATAATGCCAATAATATAGTCAGCCAGTAACAAGTATAGTTCCTTTTGCCACCAATAGGAGGTTGCTTATGCTGATAAAATTTTGTGGATCTTTTCTGATTTAAAAACACAACATGTAGATATCATCCCTTTAATATTTACTGTAATATACAATTGCAGTGTTGCTTGGTGCAAAAATAACCTCTTAGCTTGAACTATGAGGCTCGGAGGCATATCCAAGACTGGGAATGTGGCAAAAACATCTAACTTCATGTGCATGAGACCCTTCTTATTTCATCATCTTATAACAGACTAAAATTTGTGTTTGGTTATAACAAGGTGCAATACAAGCTTCTTAAAATGTCTCATGGACGCCTAGGTATACACTTAGTATATTTATAAACAAGTTTGTGCTAAAATGCTTCTCTCCCTCGCTAGTCCCTCTAGTTACCATTGGTTTTCTGACTGTTGGTGCCTTTTTTGACCATTGGTTCTCCAACATGCCCTGTTCTTTGTTTTATTGAGCGGTTTTGTGTTTCTCTATTAGTCTTTTTCTCACTCATTTCTTGATTCAAACTGAGAATTTATTTTAGCTGCTCATATTGTTGGCTCAGCTGCAACCCATGTGATTGACAAATACTTTAGCTTATTTTATAAATATATGTTGGCTGCAAACAGATTACGAGCATACCCAAGGGGTCATACAAAATTGTTCATCTTTATTCAATCCCTATCTTGCTTCATGAATTACTAACTTTTTGTTGCTGTGTGTGTTTGAAAGTTCATCGAGGGTTCCCTTATTGCCTGCAGAATATTTTTTGCTGGATCCAATCTGAAAATTGTTTTCAGCTGCTCATGTTTATATGTTGTTATTGTTATTCAAGGTTGTGAACACTCAATTCATGACGATTTTCTATTTGATTTTGTTATTAATATATAATTGGGCTATGATGATAGTATTGCTTTGAGAACACATTGTAAGATTTGCAATCAAAGTTTCATGTTGCATATGTTTAGGCGAGACATTATTTTGTAGCCTACAATGCTAATACATAAACTTTGGTGTGGCATACAATAATGAAATAATTTTATCTGAGTGCATCATTGTTTGAGTACACTTTGCTATGCGACTTCTAATATATGTATTCTTTGATATGTTGCAGCCTCACCATTTCTGCAACCCATGTGGTTGACAAATGCTTCAGTTTGTTTTGTAAATATATGTTTCCTTCTTCAGCTTGTTCAGTCTGTTATGAACTAAATTATGGCTGTTTGGTATGTTTGTAAATAGATGATGGTTTGTAATTTTCCATCTACTTTTTTTGTTGGAGCCAAACTGAGAAAAGTAGAGTGGAAATCATATCCAACAAATTTTTTTGGTTGAAACAAACAAAATAAACATTTTCCAAGAAAAATATGAAAAAGCATGGAAATGATCTTTTGCTACAAGATTTGTTTTCTTGGATGTTTGGGATTTGAGACAAACATACCCTTAATGACATGAGACTAACGATTAGTCCGTGTTCTTGTGGCACTTTCCAACTCAATAATGCATGTTTTAAAGGAGATAATAATCCTTGACTCAATACATTAACCTTCAAATCTTCATATTGTGCACCTATTTAGGAATATGCATTTTTTTATCTACCAACTATTCAATGATAAAGATATATAGCATACATCTACTGTGATTAGCCGGAGCAAAAATTTTGGACTTTGTTTTGTGTTGGGGATTCGAAACAATCAATTGAACACTTGCCCTTCCGGACCTTGTGTTGAAAGTAGGAAAGTAGGAATAATACCACAAATAAAGATCTAACTTGCAAAAAACAGTAAAAGAGACGAACACACAGATTTAACGAGGTTCGGCAACGTGCCTACGTCCTCGAGAGCCACACCACACAATCTCTTTATTAATTGAAGAAGAAAATACAAGCTCTCAAACAAGGGATTAATCTCTCTGAGATTCTCTCTCTCTCTTTGCAGTCAAAAAGCTCTCTTTTTGATGTTATTCAAACCCTAAAACGTTTGGGGTATATATATATAGAATCCTGATTGAAACAGATTCCTAAACAGAACAGGAACCTGCCAAAAATACGCGCGGTCGACCGACACGGCCGACCGACGCGGTCGACCCATTGCAAAACCCGAGAGCAGTTTTCCTACAGGGTTTTGGCGGTCGACCGCCCCGGTCGACCGCGACCTGATCCAAGCTCTCCCAGCTCCTGTGCACGTTCGCGGTCGACCGGATCGGTCGACCGTGGATCTTTCTGCTCGATTTTCTGTCTTTTTGATTCCAGCTCTTGTCTCGAACTTTGGGTCTACACCTTAGACTAACATTTTGAGGCTGTTCAGGCATAGATTATGACGAATACAAATTTAGTACCTGTTTTGGTTTCATTAATATGTCGTGTGTACTATCTATACTATATATATTTAAGAAAATCCTCTTTTGGTATACGGTGGCCACATTTTTGGAAATTCGAAAATGCCCTCACACTTTGAAAAATCATAGAGAACGCCTCATCACACTTGAAAAATCAATAAAAAAAGTCTTCATACTTAAAACGTCTAAAAAAGAACTGATTAAACCATTCAATTCCTTCACAATTCGACTACTCTACTTCATGTTTTACGTCATGCATGCACAGGTCAGGTGCACCTGATACGAGTATATTATTAATGTAACAGTGCAGTATATCCCTTAACTTAATTTCTGAAACCAATTAGAAAAGACATTCAACCACTTTGATTAACCCACCAATGATAAGCAACTTATAATGTTCTGCCCTATTAATTCAATTTACAGAGCAACCATGCAAAAAGTAATTACAGCAATATTCCCCTACTAACAAACCCCCAACTAAAAGAATATTTATAACCCACAACAAATCAATGAACAAGGTAAGTAACAAGGAGAGCTACAAGCATGAGCACATAAGCTATCCCTTGATCAATCCCCGTGCCATCGTTCATCATCGGAGAAGGAGCCGGCGCTTGACCTACGGCAAGATCCATTAACCCAGAGAAGAAATAGACAAAAAGGAGCAAATTGCATATTTTCTTTGAGCTCATCTTTTGATCAATCACAAAAAATGAATTTTGATACAGTGAGAGAAAACTTTGATGTTTGGTGATGAAGTGCTTCCAGGTGTGGCTTTATATAGGAGTGAAATTTCTGGTGAGAATTTTGAAAATTTCAAATTTTGACGGAGCCATTTCGAGTTGATTAGTCTTTTGTGGGGCCCATTGGACCGTGTCAAGTTCGCTAAAAGTTTGTTTTGTTTGGCTCATGGGTCATGAGTTTGTTAGCAAATGATAAATAATGTAATCATATGTATGGTTCATGGATTATTTATGGAATTATTGTCAACTGCAGGGTATCCACATCACAACGGAACGTCATTGACTGAGAATGTTTCTTGTTGTTTTGGTTCAATTGGTTACAATTGATAAAGTCAGGGATATTATTTAGGGTTAGGTTACAATAAACCCCCAAGAACTTTCAACATTTTGCAGTAACCGCCAATAACTTTCAAAATCGCAATAAAACCCTAGTAACTTTTGGAATTATAGAAAACTCCCGATAAACTTCCATGTTTTTGTAGATAACCCCCATAAATTCGAACAACAAAATACATAGAAAGGAATTTTGAATGTTATTGGGGGTTAAGTGTAATTCACTCAACAGTTTTCTCAAAAGTTTTTGGGGGTTTACTACAAGACACAGAAAGTTCTTGGGGTTTTAAGGTAATTATCCCATTTCCCCTGGACATCTTGTCCGGTGATTAAAAAGGAAAGTTTCATAAATTTAAGGGTTTTTCCGCAACACCCCACAGAGACCTTCCTAAGGGCCCGTTTGGATAATGGAAGTATTAGAAGTAAGAAGTAGGTTATAGAAGTAACTTTCAAAGCTATGAAGTAGGAAGTAGTGAAAATAACATTTTTTTTGTTTGTTTCATATATTTTTAGAAGTAATGGAAGTAGAATTTCTTCCTCTTCATTTACTTTTTTTGTTTGGATAACATTTGAAAATATTATTAGGAAGTAATTTTATCAATGAAAAGTTGTTAGAAGTAACTAATAAAGGAAATATTAATAAAAAAAATTATTTATGTCATAATTAATATGCATTTCAACTACTTCCGAGCTACTTCTGAGTATTGAGGATTGAAAAAATATTTTGAAAGTAAGGATGACACGTAAGCGCCACATAAGTATTTAGGGAAGTATTAGAAGTAAATTTTTCAGAGAATCAAACACACTTTTTTGCTTGGAAATAGCAGAAGTAGCCTCTACTTCTTTTACTTCAGCTACTTCACAATTACTTCCGTGCAAACAAACAGACCCTAAACTGGAGTGGAGAGTTTCACAGTACCCCTTAATTACCTTTGGGAAATTATTTGAGTTAATGGAGAAGACAAAAGATCTTTGAAAAGAATAATTCATATTGTACCCAAGATTTTGAGACTAATGTGCGGACTATTAAATATTACATGGATAGCCTCTTTCATTTAGTCCCACCTCGAGTAGAGTAAAAGAACAATGCTACTCACATTGTATATATAGACCACAATACAAATGAATACAAATATCATTATTCTCTTGATTTGCTTTGTTTCTAACATAGTATCAGAGCCATTTAATCAATTCCTTTCTCAAATTTCAACCCCACAAATCTAATATGCACCACTGTGCATCAGATCTGCACTGACGTGCACCAGATCTGCACTACCATGCACCAGATCCGCACGACATGCACCAGATCTGCACCAAAGCTCGTCCAACAAAGCCAAAACCGCACCACGTGCACCAGATCTTTATAGATCTTACGCCGATCACTTGGATCTTCAACCATACCTTCATAGATCTTGCACCAATCATTTGACTTACCAATCAGATCTTCATAGATCTTACGCTGATCATTCAGCTTTTAAACCAGATCTTCATGTCAATCATTTGACTTACTAACCAGATCTTGCGCCAATCACTTGGCCAACAAACTAGATTTTCATAGAACATTAGTTTTATCAAATAGATCTCCCTAGATTTTAAACTAATCACGGAGTAAATATCTTTAGATAAGCGATAAGTTATTGTTATAGCCATTTTAGTGATGAAATTTCTAATCAATGGCAGATAAGTGTCCCATATTATGCATAATCAAGTCAGCGTTTCAAGATAATTAGAGGCCTAATTCGGTCGACTCGACACGCTGGCATCTTGTGAGGAGCACTCCAAAGGCGTCACGTGTCGACGGCCCGAAAGGCGTTACGTGTCATCTCCTGGCTAAGTTGACTGCTGAATCACTCCACTCGGCCGACACCTTGTGAGGGCGACTTAAAAGGTAGTACTTCTCGACCACTAGACGAGTGGAGAGGTGACGAAATGTCTCGATCCTCGAGTCCTGAGCCCCCTCTCGTGCACTGACGATCAATCACTTCGCAATAAATGCCATTAAATGCATTATAGGCGTCATTATTCCTCTGCCCCCAATAGTTTTTATGACACATCGGACCACGTCGACACCGCACATCCCCAATCACTTCGCATTAAATACCAAAGTGACATCTACTCTACTCATCGGCCGACACCTGTAAAGCAGAGGCTGACATGGCCGTCATCCCATACTCGACCGAAGTTACCATTCTACCCTTCTACCATCACTATAAATAGGGGTACTATTTTTAATAATAAGGTAAGATCTTTACTACAACTCACTTTGCTTAAGAACTAATGCAATTCATTTTACTTCTTCACTCAAGCAAATCACTGACTTGATCATCGGAGGAACAATCGGAGAATCTAACCCCGTCATTTTACGATTTGCTATTTGTGCACGGAAGAACAGCTTACTCTAGAACTAGACATTCAGAGGGTTAGAGGACATCCGTTAATCACTCCATTCATTTGACATCAACAGCTCTTATGATGACGCTAGAAATCCACTTCCAACAACAATCCATCGATGTAAAACTCGACAGTGATAACTACCATCTCTAGTCCTACTCCCTACGAGTCATCCTTCGTAGTCGTGGGCTTTGGGGACACATCGATGGCACCTCAAAACCTCCAACTCAACCACTTCCTACCGGTGATCTCACTAAGGATACAACTTCCCTCTCCTCTTATGAGTTTACCCATATGACTTGGACTCTTGCTGCCATCGCTGCAATCATACAATCCGTCTCACCCTCCATTCAACTTTAGCTCGCACGATCTAACACTACCATCATCCTACACCGATCTCCTACAGGCGCTACATCCATCCACTTTCTCACCAAACACAGGCTCGGTTGCTGCCTCGTATGTCACTCAATCAGGTACAAAGACTAACTCATGGATTTTAGATTCGGGTGCTACACATCATCTTACGTCATCACAAAAACGCCTCCACAAGTAAACAACCCTACCTCCCATAGC